GGTGAACAGGTAAGTCTTTTGACAATGCCCTTTGCCTTAGATTTAGATGTGCCTGTTGATAGAGAACTTGACTTTTGACCTGTTTTCACGTTTCTGATCCCTGGCAACATACCTTTTCACAATGCTTTACTTTTACAAGGCCTGTGCTGCTCTATTTTTACAAGGCCTGAGGCCTATATCGGGTAAAGGCCCTTTTACTGTACATGGGTAGGGTGAGGTCTAGGTATCGAGCCCTGGGTACTGCATCCGCTACTGCTAAAAGGTGAAAACCGTTTCACTCCCGTCGTCCTCAATTCGAGGTCCTCCGAGAATATTTCAGTCCAAGGCAGGACCTTTACCTTTCTTGTCGCGCTCGTAGGCTCTGACTATGCCGGGAGCTGTCTCTAGAAGCTCTGTTCTTGTAAAAAGGTTCCTGATAAGCAAACCGTACCTTATACTGTTTCTGGGGACGACCTCTACCTCCTGTCCTGAACACATCCTCATCTACAATGCCGTCAATGTCAGAACTTCCATCCATATCCGGGGGGATCATGGATCTTCTTGAAGGGAACTGTTGACTTGTGACACACGGCAACAGCTTTGAAGCATGGAACACGGGGTATGTGTGGAGGTGTGCTGGGATCTCTATAGTGTAGGACGGTCCATCCTCTCCGCCCTTGACTTCTAGAACCGGCCACAGTCCTCTATATGCAGGCAGTAACTTCTGCGAGATGTTTTCTTCAGGTGCAAACTCTTTTGCTTTGACCCAGACTAAGTCGCCTACTTGAAACTGTGATGGGCGACGTGCTTATTAGCCTGTTCTATCATCCTATGCTGGGCCTTCCGGAGGTTCTCAACAACAGTTGCTAATTCTTTCTCGTGCTGTATCGCAAACTCCCAGGTACCGGGCGGTAGCCTGTGTATCTGATCCCGGTTCAGTCCTTCGAATGGTCTGCGCGGCCTAAAGGACTTGTGCAGCTCATTGGGAGTGCGACAGGTGGACAGATGCATGCTGTTGTTGTATGCGCTAGCTACCTTGGGCAACATCTCGTCCCAGTTGATCTGATCAGGTCTAATGTACATGCGCAGTCTGACTCCCAATGAGCTGTACTTGCTGTAGGATCTTGTTCATCTGCTCAGTCTGACCGTTAGTCTCTGGGTGGCGGCTGGACAACATTAACAACTTAGATCCGTAGACTCTCATGAGTTCTTGCCAGTTCTGGCTGGTGAAACGACTATCTCTATCGCTAACTATTGACAATGGGATTCCCTTCTCACTAACCCAAAAGTCAAAGAACTTCTGTATAACCAAGTCTGTACGTGCCTCTGCAGGCAAAGGAACAAAGACTGCATACTTACTAAAACGGTCAACTATGACCATGACTTGGCTCTCGCCATGTCTACTCTTGACTTGGGTGTCCATGAAGTCTATGGACACTGAGTCTCCCGACTGATCCGGAATAGGCAAGGGTCTGAGAAGACCTAGAGGGGCGCGCGTAGTAGTCTTATTCCTCTGGCACACTTTGCAACTGCAAACATATTCTATTCAGCCATTCTTCATCCCGGGCCAGGTGTACGCACGCATTAGATTGGCTAATGTCTTTTGCCAACCAAAATGTCCCTCAATATCGTGGCATTCCCCTAGGATCAAACTACGAATCTCTTCGTTGTTGGGAACGCACAGGCGGTCAAACACATTAGTCTTCTCAAACAGTAATCCCCCTGTAGTGCGGTAATCTGGCTCAGTCTTTGGGGCCTCTCTAACTCTCTTTAGGAGGTCGCTATAGATAGGGTCCTGCGCATACGCTTCCTTCACCTTCTCCTGCAGGTCTCTCCCTATATCCAGATAGTGTACTATGGCTCCAAAGTAGTCCGATCTCCTACTCAGAGCGTCTGCAGCTACGTTGTACGTGCCCTTTACTGGCTTGAGCTCAAAGTCGTACTGGTCTATCTCAGCGGCCCACCTAGTTAGCTTAGGTGTCATCTTGGCCTGGGTCTTTAACCATCTAAGGGTCTCATGATCAGAGTACACTTTGAAGTGCCTCCCAAGCAGGTAATGCTTCCAGTGGTCTAGAGCCTGCCTGAGAGCGTAGAGTTCTCTCTCGTACGTCGAGGTGGC